GAATAATATATTAAAAGAGAAATCATAGTGTTTAATTAATATTAGTCAAGAATTAATAATAATTAATTTTTTGGCTAAAAGATATTAATTAAATAAAGGGGACTGAATGTGTAATTATAAGACAGTTGCATAAATGGGCTAATGGACTCCATAGAAGTTGGAGTGGACGAAATCTATAGGGAAACTCATAAGAATTCGTCCAAGGCCTCTAAGGAGGGAGTTCATGGGCTGCTTAGGGCCTAAGCAGTCAAATTAGGGTTTCCTAGTTCAAAACCCTAATAGCCTACCTATATAAGGAACCCCTAAGGCCCCAAAAATGTGGTGAAGTATTCCCTAAGGGTTCTTGGAAGTTTTTGGTGCTCCTCCTCCTTCTCCTAGGTTATCTTGTTGCTCATGGTGTTTGTGAATCCATTAGAGGTGCAACATTTGAGGCACTAAGCTGTCAAAGGTCAAGATCAAAAGGAATTTAGTTTGTTATTGCTACATAACAATCAAGGTAAGATCTAAACTATATTCTTTTGTCAATTTCGATTATTCTATGCTAGAATTAGGGTTTATGAGCTTTGGATGATTATTGCATGTTCATTAGACAAACTAGATCCAAAGCTTTGGGGTTCGCATGTACACCATAGGATTGAGGTAGTGCTCAAAACCATCAGGTTTTAACCATACTCAAAAGAGGTGAACTAAGTAGAGTTTGTATGTGTCTTTGATGTTATCTAAGTTTTGTTCTAACTATGCTCAATGTTATATGGATCCAAAGTAAAGGTGTGTTGTTTGGAGCCTATAACCAGTTATGGATATAGAAGGTGAGGGGAAGGGGAAAAGAGTACAAGGCTTATGAACAAGACAGGTGTACTACCATAAGCATATCTAGGTGGTTCTCGAGGTAGCCAAGGAAAATTTTTGGGTATAGCCTTTTACTTTAATCTTGGATCCGCCACTCTGTATGTGTACTAAGAGTTGAAACATTGGTAACCACCCATGTGTAGATAATGAAATAAGTATTTCAAGGTAAGTTCACATAAGTAATATTATACAAAAACCCTAGATTTTATGCAATTCTTTTTTTACTAACTCATAACTGGAAAAAATATTTGTATTTTAATTCTTAAATTTATAACCTAACAGATTGATATGCCAAACAATTCGGTTACATATTTAAATGAAAAGTTAATGCATTTTCCAAGGAGTGCGTGAAGTTGTTATTATGTTTCCCATACCTACAAGTTTGAAAGATATCAAACTACTTTAGTAGGTATATTACATAGTGCTACTATTCATATTTGGATTATGACCTTTTAGCCTTTATAATTTAGTTCTTTCAATTAATTTCTCATATATTCATGAAGTTGCCATTATCCATATTGGATTATAACTTTTCACTCTAATTTTGATGTTTGTGATATGATTTTAGGAAGCAAATATGGCAATCAACAACAAGTCTTGTATTTTTATATCTTCCATCTTCTCAAGTGTTTTTAAACATCAATTAAACACTAAATATTTAAAGCATTTAATGTGGAAAAAAATAGCCTTAACTATAACTCTTTTTGATGTTCATTACCTTCTTAACATGTGCTTTTACTATATAAAACATTTACTTTTTTCGTTCTTTTACAGCCACTACCATATGATTGTTTGGTTTGTCACTAACGTCAAAAGTGGATGGAAAAGTATGTTTATGGTATTGAAATTTCCCAATGTTTTTTTTTTTATTTTTTTAGTATAGCATTTTCATACAATTTATAATTATGGGAACATTTACTTAGGTCTTCACAACCACAACTTCTGATGACCATAAAGCATTCACTACTCTTATTGAAATAATCAAAACGATAGTGCATGATTATCACAAATATATTATAAGGATAGAAACAAAAACTTTTACAAATTGTGTAAATTGTACGTTGCTATTAATTGTTGCTAGTTTTTTTATTTAAGTTGAAAGTATGTTGCTAGTTTTTTATTTGATTTGAAAGTATGTTATTATTAATAAAATGATACGACATGATGTTTAATTTGGTGTAAACATGGTTATTATTTCTTTGTTAATCCGGAATTTCATTTGTGACATTTGGTACGGATTAATGGTAGATTCAACAACTAATAGACCATTGCTAATTACATTAGTAACAATGATTAAATATATAGAAATATTGTTCATTTACAAATAATCAACAACGGATAAGCGACGACAATTAGCGACGGATCTTTGACAAAATGTACTTAATCCAAAAGTCTTCCGTGATAGCCGAATCACTTGTTGATCCGTCGCTACCCATTAGCTACTAAGGTTTTTTCATCTGTATCCGTCATTGATTTATAACTAATGGCTTTAGCAACGGATTTCCCGACAGAAATGTTCGTCGCCAATACTTATGTTTCTAGTAGTGCAACACATATTAAAATCACATCGATCATGGCTTCCACCTTCATATTGGGTGTGAATAAAATTAAATTTAATTCTCAATTTAATGTTACATTTTTTACTATTGTCATGATTATTTAATCCAAATTTTACTTATTTGGTCCATTTTAAATTTCAATTATGATAATATTCTAAAATACTAACCATTGTTTGTAAGTTGAAAAAATGTATTATGATTTTATGTTATTATTAATTATTATTATTGTGCACTAATTTTAAACTAGTTATTACTATTAAATAGTTATGAATGATCATCCATTAGTTATTTTAAAACCATTAACTATTATTATTAGTAAATAATTCAAAAGTTACAAATCTATGTCTAGGTAGAAAATTTATTTTTCATTACACTTATGTGAAATCTTGTTACGTTTTATGGTTGACAAGATTTACATAATTAAAGGATGTTGTGTGAGAAGTAAAACTAGTGAACCATGTATGCAAGTTTTGTGAAGGGGAGTTCGTATACTATGTTCAGATATGTACATGATTTGGGTCGTAACCTTGTAATAACAAGAGTTGAACATAATCCGTGTTAATCCGATTCTAAACCGGTCCATAAATCGGGTCCCATCACTAGTATCTTCATACCTATTTAGGTGGTGACATGTGTCATTCAATTTAATTTAGATTACATTAAGATGTTAAATTTGTACACTTGTGACAATCTTAAATAGGTAGAAATAAAAGGTAGGAGGATATTTAATTTCTCTCTAATAAATATAGTTGAGGCAATTGTAAAGGCCTGGTACCATTTCGGTTTTATTAGATTCCTTTTGTCGGATCTAATGTGCTTCAACTGATTTTTTTTTTTATGATAAAAACAATTTTTTTAATACCTTATAATACTTTTAAAAATTATTTAGCATTAAGTGGTACAAATTTATAAAAAGATTTTTTTTAAAGAAATAAACTAAATGTTTTATAAAACTTACAAAAAAATGCATGGAAACTTAAAAAAATTACGAAAAAAATGCATTGAAATGGCAAGAACTAAAATACTAACCATTGTTTGTAAGTTAAAAATGTAGTATGGTTTTATGTTACTATTAATTATTATTATTGTGAATTATCTTTAAACTAATTATTACTATTAAAAAAATATGAAAGATCATCAATTAGTCATTTTAAAACCATTAACTATTATTATTGGTAAATAATTCAAAAGTTACAAATCTATGTCTAGATAGAAAATTTTATTTTTCTTTGCACTTATGTGAAATCTTGTTACGTCTCATGGGTGACAAGATTTACATAATTAAAGTATGTCGTGTCGGAAGTAAAACTAATGAACCATGTGTGCAAGTTATGTAGAGAAGTTCGTATACTATGTTCATATGTGTACATGATTTTGGGTCGTAACCTTGTAATAACCAGAGTTGAACATAGTCCGGGTTAGTCCAATTCTGAACCGGTCCATAAATCGAGTCCCATCACTACTATCTTCATACCTATTTAGGTGGTAACATGTGTCATTCAATTTAATTTAAATTAGATTGAGATGTTAAATTTGTACAGTTGTCACAATTTTAAATAGGTAGAAATAAAAGGTAGGAGTATATTTAATTTCTCCAAAATAAATATAGTTGAGATAATTGTAAAGGCTTGGTATTGTTTCTGTTTTATTAGATTCCTTTTGTTTGATCTAATGTGCTTGGTTTGATTTTTTTATAATAAAAACAATTTTTTCAATACATTATAATAGTTTTAAAAATTATTGAGTATTAAGTGGTACAAATTTATAAATTGATTTTTTTTAAAAGAAATAAACTAAATGTTGTATAAAACTTACAAAAAAAATGCATGAAAACTAAAAAATTACGAGAAAAAAAATGCATTGAAATGGCAAGAACTAAAATACCCATTAAAATTGCAAGAATTACAAAAACATGCAATGAATGCTTAAATACTTTTCAAAATGAAACCATTGTTAAAAAGTCAAAACAAAGTTAAATACCAGTTCAACATAGTTGAACATGTTTAACTTAACTATCGATAACGATAACAACATGGATCTTCACAACACCTTTTGACTTCATTTTATGCCTCACGCCATCAACACCATTGAAATTCTTGAAATCCGCAAAAACATTCACTACTCCATATATTGTTAGCATCTAATTCCACCATCTTTCTAGACGCAAGTTTAGCCATTACCACATTTTTATAAATCTTGTTGGCATTTAGCAGTGCACCCCATGCTTTAGCAATCGGTGCACATGTCATACTCTGGATGAAGCGTAATGATTCATCCAAACGGTTCAATCGGCCGTATAAATCAACCATACATCCATAATGCTCTACTCTTTGGTCATAGATTCAGAATGCTTCCAACCATCTTCAACAAGACCCGCTACACTACAAGCCTTTAAGATTGAAAGGAAAGTGTCCTCCTTTGGTGCGATGTTTTCTTGTTGCATAACGGAAAAAATGTCAAGATACTCTTTACCATAAACCATGCATCGCTAGTCCTCCCACGGCACCACTCCATGTGTAAACGTTCTTTTCTTTCATCACCCCAACAACATTCATTGCGTGTTAATAACCCCACACTTTGCGTACATATGGACTAGTGCACTACCAAGAGTGTGTTGATTTGTAGTTTTTTATACTTTGTATATCTATATGCCCGTTGTCCCGCATCTAAAGCACTTAACCGAGTGCATGCAGATAACACATTAACCTTCAAACCTTTCATTTCCATTGCGTTAAACAGTTCGAGTCCGTTTAAAGGCTCCCCGAAACGCACGTACCCTGCTTTCATTGCGTTCCAGGCAATCACATCTCGGTCGAGCATTATTTCAAACGGTTGGCGTGTGAATTTGATATCTCCTAACTTTGAACAGGCGACCACCATTGTTGTCTGAGTTACCAAATCTGGGTTGTGGATGCTAAAAAACATATCTTTTAAGTCCCTAAGAGATCCCATTTCAGCGTACAAATTACTCAACCCGCTTTGAACATTGGGTATTGATCCAAGGCGTATTTCAAAGCAGTCCCATGTACAGCCAAAACAAAATTCTTATCCACTAACTGTGCAGCAGAATTGATCTAGAACGTAAACAAGTAATTATCAGGTTTATGATTCGATTTTACAATTCTTCTATAGAAATCGAATCCTTTTTCAGGAGTTGAGCTCTTGGAGTAAACTCTGATTAGAGAGTTTAAAGCAAAGACGGAGGGATTCTCACATTGGTCCAATAGTTGAACAGAATAATCGATATTTGTGGGTGTTTGAGGGCCATTGATGCAGCAAATTTAGATACAAGATCTGGGCCGTTGAGGAAACCATTGACAAGAAATTGTGAGTGAATTTTTTTTTTTTTTTTTTTTCATTAATTTCTTAAAAGGAAAACTCTCGATATTATGTGGCAAAACAGCTTACCTACTATTGGAGGATTAATAAACAATTTCTTCTTATCAGAAAGTTGTTTAACAACATTACATGCCTTGGATATCTTCATACCAACCAACCTAATTAATGTAAGTCTCAACAAAACTCAAGACACGTTAATTATTTATTGATCATTCATTATCACTGTGCATTACCTATATATACTTGCTCCCTTGTACATTATTTTTCACAAATTAATCAACTTCATTAATCTTCGATCACCTCTCAGAATCTTTTGACTCATCTTTAGCAACTCAAAAAAAATCCTACAATGGCTTCCACCTCCTACCTTTACATTTTTGCAATTGCACTATTCTCAATTACAACAAATGAGATGTGTTTTGCTTCCCGCAATTTGCTGCAAGCAACCACATTCCCGACACTACCACAACCACAGATACCAACAATCCCGACAATGCCACAGCCACAGATACCAACAATCCCGACAATGCCACAACCACAAATGCCCACCATCCCCACACTGCCACTACCACAAATACCCAGCATCCCTAACATGCCCAAAGTTTCCTTGCCTCCATTGCCTTCTATGCCTACCATCCCTAACTTTCCAACAACTCTTCCCAATATTCCTTTCTTTGCTCCACCACCTTCCAAGAACTAGATTGTACAACAATATCAAAAGAAAAGAAAATTCCATTATAGAGCTCAGGCGATTTGATTGATCCGGAGATTATAATGTTTTTTATTTGATCGCATTCATGATATTTGTGGCTAGATTAAATTATTGTCGAGTGCTCTCATTCACATGTTTTGTGTTTTGTGTAATTTGATATACTTTGTAATATATTTTTCCTATTAAGGTTGATGATTTCCATTACTTTATATCTCAAGTGTTTCCTCGTATGTAAAATTAGGCAACATGTTTCATACATATTAACATTACATAACAAAAATTATTAAAAATATACGTTATGAAAAACAATTATTTCATTTTACGTTTACTGTAAAATAATGAAAATCTTATAATAAGGTGAAGTATATATTTTAAACAAATATATATGTTACAATCACATTAA